TTGCTTTCGTCAATATGCAGAGGTGCTTATGGTTTTACGTATATGCGGTCCCCAAACAGTCCAGTACAATCGGAGAGCTCGAGTGGGTTATTTTGGGAGATGGATTTTACCATCCCCTCCGAATATCTCAACATGTTCATAAATGGGGAAGACCTACCCATTGCCTTCTCGTGGCCAAGGTGCTGTCACTGAGGCAAGAAGTCAGTGACTCTTCTAAGAAAATAGGTAAACCTCGTGTGGAAACTACTCACGTGTGTGAGTTGTCCTCAGGACTATTGGACATACGGTGATAGGTTTCACTGCCCACCATCTCGGACGTGCTAGTGCAGATGATGCACCATTCGAGGTGCATATCACCCGGCGAACACTAATCCCCAAGGACTCGAAGCACCGACATGTGTTGAGAACGTCATCAAATAGGCTATTCCGGAACGCGATATGTGCCGAGGCGGGCAGCGGATGGAAAAAGGTAAAGGGTGGTCAAACTAGGACCTGAGGGTATGGAAACCCTAACCAGGACACTGGGTCACAGGGATACCGTTAGGCTCCTTAGATGGAGACTACGAGATCATGGTAACCGATGGTTGGAGACTAAGTGTCGTAAACAATGGCGTTCGTGCATCTAGTCATTATTCTCGCAATCCCAGTCTATCCGAATTATCTATCTTCTTTTTGACTCTGCCCTCAGCATTCTAATCTTTGTTCATGGTTTAGCCCTATTTTCCTTCTTCTGTATCCCTGTCCACCCATCTGTTACTGTTATTACTGTTGCGGTGTTGGCACCATGCTTGCCAGCAAGTCGTTGATAAATACATACTGCTCTTCCATCCAAACGGACAATCAAAACCGGCACATAAAAATACATGGTTGATGTCGGTAAAGACTGAATTGAACTAACCGAAGCACTGAATGTGCTATTTTCTGGAGGCTTGGCCTACTCGTGAGGATTTTAATCACAATTTATCTGAACACTTCATCTAATGTTTGGACGGTTACCTGGTGGTTTAGTTGGAAACGCTAGTATGTTCTGCAGTAGGTTCACATGTGCAATCAGCCCCCCCTTTTTTCAAACAGCAAAATGTCGCATTTACAGTTTCCCCTTTTTGCTGGTATTTCAAGTTGTGCAGAAATTTCTTGCAGTGTTCGATCGTTTTTTCCCTACCCCGTTGCTCACAGCTGAATACGTTTTGTCAGTTGTCTGGAATTGTCGCCGGTCTCATGGCTCCGTTAATCGGAATGGGAGATTCCATCTGCTTATACGCCATATGGTGAGCATAATTCAACATATCTACTGCACCTTCATCCAGTTTATTTAGGAATCACGTCACCACTCCATACCTCAATCTTCGAACGGTCCTCCAAATCCATTTTGTCGTCTAATCCAATGTTTGCTAAAGATGAATGGCCTCACTTTAGAGAACACCAATGCTCCCAATCACATTGGTTCTTTGTCGATCCGTTCTGTATGTTACAGAGTAGCATTATCTTACGATCTTAGGTGATACAAACACGTGGACCATTTTTAACGAGATAATTAAGGATTTTCCAAGTTTTCTTTACATTCAGTTCCCGTTTTGTTTACCAGTGTATAGTATCTCATTTTCTGCATTGCTTCCTTTGAGAAAGAATGTAAGGCTATCGCATTTTCCGCAGATGTACGAGACTTACACGATGTGCAAAATCATAGGATTTCATTGGCGGAAAACGCATGCCTTTTGCATTGCAAGAACGACTTTCTTAAGATTTCTGCTGACTCTACTCGTCCTTCTTATTCACGGCCTCTGGTAGAACTCGGTAAAAGTTTTGTACACTGATGCCACTGTTCTATTATCCCTCATCTTGCTCGATCTCTTCATCTGATAGATGCCATAAGTCCTGATATAAAACGCTCAGCTTTCGTTTTACATTTTCTTGTTTATCATTATTTTTCATAAAACAGTCTCACTGTTTTAATGACAATACGATTAACATTTCATGAGCACAATGCTGCATGAAGAAAGCTATTCTTCCTAATCCTATCGCCAGATTATGTTGAAAAGTTGTCACCACTTGATGAGTTCGAACTGAGCCAAGGTCTACTTACATGAGCATCAGTCTGAGAACAAGGGTTTGGATCTCATGCGGAATTTAATTTTGCACAGTCTTCAAGAGGCCACAAAAATCTTGTACATTGTTGCATTCTTGTTCACTCGTTCTACAGGTCGGTCGCAGCAGCTACAACGACGTGCTCTGGTTTGGATTATCTCCGTCAGTATCCGCATTGGCGAAGACAAGCGGTGGCACGATCGCAGCAAACGATCAAGTGACAGTGCTTTCTTCTCTCCTACTTTACTTTCTGCTATCACATCATTTTCGCAAAAACCCTATTGTACTCTCGATAACAGATCTAAAATTTTTCTTAGTTTGCCTTTGTCATTTATCTGGCGCTCTGTGGTTCACTGTCACTCTAGCGTGTTATACAACTGGGAGTATCATTGACCAAATAGTGTAGCGATGACAACGCAGGTAGACAGCTGTATGAGCGACCACCTCGATACGAGGCACATGTTGATAGGGCCCATTTTGTGAAGTTATTCCTTTGTTCCTGGAACCAAGTCATGTTTGGAGAATCACTATATCAGGTAGACGATAAGTTGAGACGTTGGTTTAAGTTCGTTAACTGGTCAAGGAAATTCTAGTTTAGAAGCGAGAAAGCATGGCCAAATGTAGCTCAGTGGAACTGATAAATTCATGGGTCATTACCTGGTTTTATCATCGATCAGAAACGCGTCTTCCTGCCCAACAGAAAAGTGCTTGACGATCCTATCTTAATGGGTGAAATCATACTTGTAATCGCAACCTCAAACATCAAATGAAGGTACCGTGTTCTTGAGGTCTGTGTACTAAGCTTATGGTGTAAGTTTGAAACAAACTGTGCAAAAGAACTTCAAAAACGCGGAAAAATGACTTCAGAAAAAATAGTATTTCAGTGTTTTACTGTCGTAGAAGTGAGTTCTGTGCACGAGTTGAGTGAATATACTTTGTACAGTATTTGGTCCCCTTGTTGGGGAGTGGAGAGGAAGTTAATTGTTCACAAATATAAACTGGCTGCGAAAACAATATCCCGTTTGATCATGACCATGGCTGGAACGAAAATAACAAAAATAGTAATATTACTGGGAGGTTGCGAAAAATGCGTTCCTGAAGAGATTTTCACAATCGATTCTAAAAAGGCCGAATTAGTCAAGACAAGAAAAATCAAAACACGTAACTTTGGGGATACAGATTAAGACTAAATAGAACTATTATTAACGAGACAGTATCTGCCAAGCAATGACGAAACCAGATCATCCACACTTCCATAAACCAGCAGAGAATTTATGTTGAAGAGAACAAAGAAGCGTAATTTAGGAATACACTTATAGTCACTACTGTGTTCTGATTTCAAATAGCACATTTCATTTGACGTTCCGTTTACTTCATACTATATAATGAAACCCAAGTCTCCAATACCGCCAAACCTAATTATCCCAGAAAATTAACATAAAATGCATTTCGGCTCATCTTTGATACCCGAAGTTGCTCGTATCTTCTTGTTTAAGCTGGATTGGTAGAAACCGTGGGTAGATTGCTGTGATCTGATTGACGTTTATCATTATCAGAGCTCTTGTATTTTAGCAAACGCTTGCACCTGGGCACGTGCCTTTCGATTAGGGCTCGCTGGAAGATTTTTGAGTTAGGATTCGACGATATTGTTAACCAGCGGGTTAAACAGAATGACATCTAATTCGGAATACTTTATCCATGAAAAAAGTTTAGTAGTAATGGTTTCGAAAGCGCATTGGTTATAAAGCAAAAATTAAGCGATCACAGTGTATAAAAATCCAGGACAAATATTACCTTGCACGAATTTATTCTCTAGTTCTGAATTTCCGGCGACCTTGGCCGCGTCGTGCATCTGACGTAGAAGTTCTTCCAGTCGGCGCATGCATCGGATCACACTGCCCTCAAATACATGAGTCAGTTCACAAAGACGTGCAAAACTAACTCCTTCGGCCCATGCTCGAACAACTTCCATTAATTCACCGGAAAAACGGTCCACATAAGCTTGCTCATCGTCTAATATACCGACACGATTGTTTAACAGTGCGCCAGCTTCTGGAATCGCGGTCCTCTTGATGTCGGATTCTTCTTTTTGTGTTCGAGATGCACCAACACGACACTCCGCTGCAGCGCGCGCTAAGAACCGGGCCTTTGTCTGTGTTAAGAAGTGAAAGTGGGAAATAAACGTCAATGAGTCGATGAACGCGAACAGGCATGCACTTCAGGTGACAGAGATCATACATGACAGTTACGAACACGAGCAGCGGAGATACTCAGGAATCAGACAGTGCTGGTCAGCCCATTTAGCAAAACAGTATGTTCAGTCACAACGACCTACAGCTGGGTATGATTACCGCAGAAGTGAACCACACCATCCTCAGTACCTACGATAGAAAGGAACCTAACTCTGTTAGTCTTTCGGCTAGTCATCTTTCAATAAGGTTCACATCTTTTCTAGAACGTGTATTTGGCTTAGCCGAGTAACCAATTCAGTGGATTGTAGGTTTGAGGAACAACAGACGATTTTAAAATGATTGGTATGCGTAAGTGGAGCACCATAAATCAGGAGAACAGATAGCAACTAACTTGAATTTGTTTCAATGCGTTATCCATGTCCGGCTGCAGAATGAGTTTGTCAGCCTTGCCCGCATTGCGCTCCACAACAAAGCAAGACAGAACCCCAGCCAGTTGTGCAGCGGTCAAATTGGAGAACAGGCCGTCCAACATGAGCTCGGTAAGCATCAGTTCGTCACCGGATGAGATCTCACACGCGACTCGACCCTTGAATGCGATCACATCGTCCTCTTGACAGAAGCCAAGACGTCTCAATAGACGTTTGCGCGCATGCAGTTCATCCAACTGAACCAGACTATCTTGGCTTTCCAAGTGTTTTTGCAAAACTTTCAGTTCGTGCAACTTCTGTGGGTGTGGCAAGACAAGAAGAATGAAAGCAGGTTAGGGGTTAATCGATAGTTAACCAACTGCGAGTTTGAAAAAAAAACGATAGTGTTCTGGACATAGGTACATTTAATTGACATTCAAGTTTTTTAACTGGATCAGCATGGTACCAGTGGTGGCACACTGATTACCAACCGGTCAAAGCTGCAACAAAAGAAACGCACAGTCTACAATCTTGGACACCAACGTGGACATATTAACCGCACTTTTATTCACTCATGAGGCAACGAGAACCAACTTGTCAATTGAAGTCTTGACAGAGGGTAGAGTTATATTAATAAGACTAGGCACCTCATGCAGTCCTCCAGAATCGGTCGAAAATCTCCTCATACAGTTATCACAGGCATGAGTGATATTCAATACTGACAGCACAAAACAATTCAAAGGCAACTTGGTGATAGCACAAACTGATTCGTTTTGCAAAGCTCCAAACCTGTTCAAAGAGCAGCTTGGAGCCACGGATAACCAGGAGAAATGATTGCGAAGTATCACTAACCGCCCACACTGAACCTCAGGTAATACACACCAGTTAGGAGAAAAATGCAATTTGTTCTCCAATGGGGTTTAGAATGCAAATAGACAACCCACATTGGATGCTATGGAATGATCTCCATTAGCCGGGGCAGCAATAAGGAAAAGGGGAGCAACTCACAGTAGCCTTGTGTGCGAACAAGTCCATCAGGCTATCCACATCGGTTCGCTTGGAAATGGGGTTTAGAGCAATCCGGGCATCCAACATGTGCGTCATCTGAAAGAAGCAAGAAGAGCACTAGTGTTAGGAAGACATTAATTAGCAAAACTTTAACGGAAGATCAGGGGCACACTTGTGTTGCCAAGTGGTACCTTGCGTTCATTTTGGTGTCATTAACGCTCAGCTCATAAACTGTATAGGAGAAACGATGGAAAGAAATCACAAGTATGCTCTCGAAGATCCGAGGACAAACACATGTGCTGATGACAGTGACTTCAGCAGTTAAACGCCGCTAGCTCATGTCTAGAACCACAGTGAACCAATACGCGGCAACGGTGTAAGTTACAATAACATGAATTGTCGTGGTCGAATCCGCACGCACTCCTCTGTGGTCGTTGGCTGGCTTCTTCCCCCTTCCGAATATCTGCCTTCCACAGTGGTTGGCGTAAAAAGAGAAGTAACTTTCAGATGACCGTACTTAACAATCAAGTACTTCAGTGTGTCAGTGGTCAGTTCAGAGAAGGTACTCAAATGCCCAAGATTTAGTCTAAATCAATAGTGTAACGACCACGCGGTTTACCACCAGATATATATGCATAAATATATATACCTTGAGGAAAGGAATCTCTGGTTTCATCTAGATGAACGGTTTTTAAGCTTATTCGATATTCCGCAACCCTTCTCAACTTCTCCCGGCTCTTTGCCTGCCGGTGCCTTTGAACTTCGGCCGTGCTTTTCGAAATTGGACAACTATTTACGTTTTTGCAGTGGATACCATTGACCGTACACGTTTACATCAATTCACCAATTTTCAAGGTCAAATGCTGACCTGCAACTTTTACTTTATGAAATCTTTCTGTGTTTTCGCGAATGACTTTGGAGAGATTTCGAAGTTTTGTGAAAACGTTGATGACATGAGCAGATCAGGACAGGTTATGTGTAAGGGTGACACCGAGGTATTTAACAGTTCCAGATTTGGGAATGCTTTGATTGTTAATTCTAAGATCAGGGAGATTATCAACTAATGAAAGATAACAGGGACCG